ATGTGTACTTGTAGTGATGATTTTGTTGAATTATTATTAAACAAAACACAAAATAATAAACGACTAGGATGCTTGTCTGTATAAAACTTAAACTTTTCTTGTGAATTCTCTAACAATTACACAGCATTAATTCGTTGGCTCTAATTCTCGGGATTTCGTGTTATCCATTGGAAATGTTACAGATTTTGTGAAAAACGTTTTGTTTGTGTTAGGAAATTGTGGAGAAAAATACTCCGTTGAAAATGAATCTCAGATATTAGTAAAATTAATGTAAATATAAATATTTTCTAGTGTACTTCGGATGAAAACTGAATATATATGTTTTATTTATGTCAGTTTTGTATTATTCATTTTGTTGAAAGTTTGAGAATTCTTATCGTTGGTTTGTCGAGTAAAAATCGTTCTTAATAACCATAACTAGCACCTTTTTTCGCATTTTCGCAAAACGAGAACATAACTGGCACTATTTTCATGTTCATATTCATATTTAAACAGCAGATGTTTAAAGTGTATTAATTTGTGTAATCCTACAATCTTATTGATGGGAAAGGCTTCCTGGAAGCACTGTATATGTAACCCTTTAATCGATTAGTGGAAACGAGACTCGTGTATATAGGCCTAAGATATTATTAGTTTCAACCAAATCAATGTGGTTTTAATAGGAAAGTAGTTCTTCCTATTTATTTTTCACAAGATTTATAATAATACTAACGTTATTATAACAGTAAAGTTATTACACTCATCAAAATGTGTTAAATTGAACAGTCTTTAAAGACACCTTCTAAATTTATTTCTTTTTTTTTATCCAATAACGTTTAGTTTTAAAATCCGGCTAAATAGATGAAATTTAGTAAAGTTCTTTAATTATCATCACATTTTACACTTTGTCTTCTTAACGAATAATTTATTGAGTTATTAATCAAAATATATAGTTTATGTACTGAAAAATTGAGTCATATTTATGTTCACGAACATGACCATTCAGAAGTTTAACTTTATTTTTTAAAGCTAATATTTTTGCATTTTATTTCGTGGGATTAAAGCAACATTAGCAAGATGTGTAATACATCTCGCAATCAAAGGTGCGGAGTAGTTTCAATAACTCAAAAAAAACAACAACAAAAACTAACAAGCAACGAAATGCTTTTGAATTTCTTTGATTTACAGCTTTAGAAAAGAATCACGGCTTGGGTATGTGCTCTTCAAGGTGTCGGCCACAAAGCTTCCGATGTTATGCTGAACGCTGCTCACAACTGGACGTGTAATGGACGGTGTGTGTTTTTTGTACGACAAGCCATAAGATCCAGCGTGGGCTCCGAAAGGAGTGCTGGATACAAAAGTGCTGCCATATGCTTGGGGAACTTGTGCGTAGGTTCCTCCATAGGTTCGGTGAGGAACACTGGTGCCGTAGGACGAGTGAAATCTTGTTGTGTATCCATCAGAGTAGCTGGAGACTTTAGGAGGTGGCGACACGTGGTAGTCTACGGGTTTAGCGTCTCCCGTTCCGAGAGTTTTCTCCACGGTGACAACTTTGGAACGAGCGTATCCTTGATGAATGGGTGTATGTGTGTTAGGACCAGGGTGGCTGTATGCGAAGCTGGTTGAGTATTTCCTGGGTGTACTGGTGCCGTAGGACGAGTGGAACCCTGTACTGTACCCACCAGAATAGCTGGAGACTTTAGGAGGTGGCGCCACGTGGTAGTTTACTGCATCACCATCTTCGGTTCCTGTTTTCTTTTCCACGCTGATCACTTTAGTACGAGCGTATTCCGTAGCGAAAGGCTTGCCGTAACCGTAGCTGGAGACGAAACCGCCTTGATCACCATAGAGGTCAGAGGCCACGACACAGGCCAATAAAAAGAAAAAGACGACACAGCCCTGTAATGTAAAATGAAAATAATTTAATTCCAAAAAGAGTTATTCTCTAGTGGGCAACAATCTATTCCAAAAAAAGAGTTATTCTCTAGTGGACAGCAATCCTCTGCTTGCATGTTTTAGATAATAGTCTGCTGAATATTTTCCTCTTCCTAAGTTCTGATCACAGGAGTTTATATCCAATCAAATGTTTCTTATTTAACAAGAAGCTCTGCTTAAAAATTCTTTTATCCTAAAATCCGATTACAAGAGTTTCCACCCAATCAAATATTTTTCCTGTAACAAGAGAATATATTTAAAATTTGCCTCTTCCGAAAAACTGTTTACGATAGTCTTCATCCAATCAAATATTTATTCTGTAACAACAAAAAAAAAAAAGCTTAAAATTTGCCTTTTTCTAAAATCAGATTTGAACATTTTCCATTCTAGTTAAACATTTCGTCTGTGATAAGAAAAACCTATTTATAATTTGTCTTTTCATAAAATCCGATTAGAAAAGTTTCCGTCAAATCAAACGTGTCTCCACTGTGTGGTAAACGTTTTATTTTGAAATTAACTTCTTAAGCAATAGGATTAAAGTCCTGAGCAAATTTGTTTCCAGTTTTCAAATACATAAAATATGAATTTTTTATCAGTTCAGTTTTAGATTTTATGTTGGACGTATGTGTGACCAATAGGCTTCAGGAGGTCAGGTTGAAAATCGATTCCGACAGATTGTTAAAAAGGAGTGATCAGACGAATGTTTTAGATTTGATGTTGGACGTATGTGTGACCAATAGGCTTCAGGAGGTCAGGTTGAAAATCGATTCCGACAGATTGTTAAGAAGGAGTGATCAGACGAATGTTTTAGATTTGATGTTGGACGTATGTTTGACCAATAGGCTTCAGGAGGACAGGTTGAAAATCGATTCCGACAGATTGTTAAGGAGTGATCAGACGAATGTTTTAGATTTGATGTTGGACATATGTGTGACCAATAGGCTTCAGGAGGACAGGTTGAAAATCGATTCCGACAGATTGTTAAGAAGGAGTGATCAGACGAATTAAAGCCTCAAATTACAATTTCCAATAATCTCAATATATGGAACAACAGTTTAAAACGAAAACTCAAACATTTCTACGTCTAATATGCTTAGGTTTTATAACAAAATTCAAATGCAAAATATGTTATTCGTTAACCACAAGAACAACATTTTGTGCAAGTCAAAACATGTTATTCATTAACCACAAGAACAACATTTGTGCAAGTCAAAACATGTTATTCATTAACCACAAGAACAACATTTTGTGCAAGTCAAAACATGTTATTCATTAACCACAAGAACAACATTTTGTGCAAGTCAAAATATGTTATTCATTAACCACAAGAACAACATTTTGTGCAAGTCAAAATATCTTATTCATTAACCACAAGAACAACATTTTGTGCACGTCCGAAAGAACTGGATTTACATGAAAGTCTTCAAAACGTTTGAAAACAAATAAACAAAAAATACCTGCACTCCTTACAATTAAAATTCACGATATAGTGATCGCATATCTATTTACTTACACATGCTCCTGTCATCTTGAAGTTCGATTAGAAAACGGAAAGACGTGAACACGATTCGAACAACAAATGGTAGTTCAGGAATTCAGCAAATGCCCTTTTAAATAAAGGTTTGGTTTCGGTGACGTCATTAACTGACCGGCCCGTCTTCATAACTTTCTCTTTCTGACCGTTAGGTGCCTGGGGTGGTTAAACATGTGTGATACACTTTAAAAACAAGGACACTAGGGGACGACAACCTGCAATATTTTTATAAGTGTATTCTGGGGCTTACCTTAAGGCTCTAAGGTTTAATGTGGGATATTTTGTTCTAATTAGAGAACATAGGGAAGAAAATGTATATATTATCACAGACTTAGGAAACAATGTTATATTTATGTTTATAAACTTTCAGCGAAACTTTGAAAGCGTATTTTTTAGAACTTAACATTATGATAAAACTAACTGCAGTTTTTCATATATTTCAAATGTTTTGCTAAATCAACATATTATACCACCTTAATGAACTAGGTGAGGCTGTAATTTTACTGGGCGGTGTCTTCTCCTTTAAGGAACATTCATAATCGTTCCCTAAAACTACATTGGATTCTCCAGGTCAGTAGGTCCTGGTTCGGTAAACGAAGCCTCAAAACATTGGTACAAACTTTACACGTTACATTAATTTTCAGAAAAACGTTTTACCTCCCAAAGTGATTTTTCCAGTTTTTTATTTCTGCTTTACCTAAATAATCAAAAAATTGCTTTAGAATTCTATGTTATTTCCTTGTGCCGCCATTTGTGACCCAGACAGTTTTGTCTGTAAATTGTTCACATTTCCAATAAATAAGACATAAGATAAGTCTGAAGCAAGAAATAATAGACCAACATTCCTATTCTGGTTGAATCATCTTTGTATCTGTTTTTCTATTATTTCAAGAAACATTAACCACATAAAGTTCAAAAAAGCCTTTTCTTAAATCAAATATCTACGTACGTTGTCTTCGTTTTGATAGAAAGTTGAGTACAGAAATATATTATTATGAAAATTAACGATTCTAGCAAATTCTTCCAGCTCGAGTAGGACTAAAACTTGGAAAGTAAATGACTATTGAAATAAGTACTATAACGTCAATAGATACTTCTGAGTACCGATACACGATGAAAAATTGAGTATCAGTACAAGTTGAAGAATTGGGTTTAATAGATACTTCTTCAAATTCCACGTACCAGTACAATATGAAGAATTGGGTTTAATAGATACTACTTTAACTTCTAAGTACCAGTACGAAATGAAGTATTAATTTGGATAGACACTCGTGTAAATCGTAATTACAAGTACAAGATGAAAAATGTGGTTTGATAGATACTTCTTTAAATCGTCAGTACCAGTAGAAGATGAAGAATTGGGTTTGATGGATTCTTCTGTAAGTCGTAAGTACCAGTAGAAGAAGAAGAATTGGATTGGATAGATACTACTTTAAATTCTAAGTACCAGTACAAGATCAAAAATTGGGTTTGATAGATTCTTCTGTAAATCCTAAGAACCAGTAGATGAAGAATTCGGTTTGATAGATACTTCTTAAATCCTAAGTACCAGTAATGGACGAAACTTGGGTTTTATAGATACTTCTTTAAATTCTGAGTAGCACCACAAGATGAAGAATTGGGTTTCACATATACCTCTGTAAATCGAAAGTACCAGTATAGGATGAAAAACTGGGAATGATAGACACTTCTGTAAATCGTAAGTACCAGTACAAGATGAAAAATTAGCTTTGATAGATAATTTTTTAAATCCTAAGTACCAGTACAAGATCAAAAAATGGGCTTGATAGATACTTCTGTAATTCTAAAGTACCAGTACAAGATGAAGAATTGGGTTTGATGGATACCTCTTTAAATCCTAAGTACCAGTAGAAGATGAAAAATTGGGTTTGATAGATGCTTCTGTAAATGTTAAGTAACAGTACAAGATGAAGAATTGGGTTTGATAGATACTTCTGTAAATGTTAAGTAACAGTACAAGATGAAGAATTGGGTTTGATAGATACTTCTGTAAATGTTAAGTAACAGTACAAGATGAAGAATTGGGCTTGATAGATACTTCTGTAATTCTAAAGT